CACGAGTTTACTGTCGCCTCCCTTGATCCAGTACCACTATCCCCTTGAGGTGTCGAAAAGGAGGCCAACCCCGGACCTGACTCCACACAGTCCGTCAAGACATGCGGGTAATTCTTAGTATTCGGTATCCATCGCTGGAGGGAGTGGATCGTGCTACTGTGATCCACCGCCGCGGATCGTTACGTATGAAGAAATGCATTTCGTGACATCACCTAGGCCGAGTGGATCGGGCGCGCTTACAGTCATGTGCAAGTAGAAGGAATGAGAAATGAGCCGAGGCTTACCGAATTGTATAATGCGCTTTCATTGTATTCAGAGCACCATTGTGAAAACAGGACATGAGGAGGCTGAAAGAGGAGATAAAAGGAAGCTGCTAGAAAGTGAACAGTTACAGTAAGGGCAGTGGTTCGAACTGATAATAAAATGAAACAAGGTGTCGCAAACTTAGCCAGCAGCAATATTTAGGGACGTCCAATTTGCAAAAACAAATATAGAAACCCAAGGAGGTAAAAGGGTTTCGCTTTTCTGTTCTAAGTGTTAGTAAAAAGACGCTAAAGCGATGTGTTGTGACTAGTAATACCGTCAGAAAGCATTTAGATGAAACCGTTGAGAGGATAAGAGCTTACTGAGGGATGCGCACAAGAAAAGTATATCACGCAACTACTGAAGCTTTTGAGAAGGATTAGTAACGAACAGTTTCAGGTAAGAGCGTCAAAACACAGCTAGGCACAAATCAGTTCCGTAGTTGCGGGTGTATGTATGAGGGCGATTTCTGAGATAAACTGGCAAGGCACACTTAAAGGTTCTGTGATACCAACGAAGTGCACAACATTTTGTACAGTGGACGGTCATGCAGGGCCATACCTATTCTGTTTTCGCTATCAGAAGACCGAGCCAAGCTGAAAGTAGAGGAGATCGAGTGCGGCTGCAAAATCGTGCTATCTTTAGATTGAAACATACACATTTGTGGGGGCCAACAAAACAATCAACAAAGGCTGGATCTCGGGGTAATCGCAGTTGGATTAGTGATCATGCCCACTAATCTACTGTAGACAAATCAACAAAAATTGATCATATATTCGAATAACCATAAGATACTGGTTTCCTCGATGTAATATTAACAAAACTGGCAAAGTCATGAACAGAAAATTGTTCGACAGGGTCCCTGTGACGTTTTCTAATCATAACTCAAAACTTCTCAGTATGCTGAACAGCACCACCACGCATCTGCATGGCCAAAAGAAGACATCTGAGTGTATCGAGTGACGCTAAACTAGATAAAATGGGTTGTCCGTGGGGAAGGGCGTAGTAATATAAACGCTATTTTTTTTTCTAAATGGCTACCGGGTGTACTCAAAATATTCATGCGTTACTACGCCCTTAGACGAGGACACTCCTCTTACCCGTGGCTGAGAAATGTATAAAAAACTAGCGTCCGACGGACAGTCTAGGCTTTCAGTCCAGTCATGTCTTTTAATATCCACACGGGACTCTCCTCATCGAG